CCACTGACCTTCAGGCATGTCGATGGTCAGAGAAACATCATAGACCTCTGCAGAGATTTCAACGTTTTCAGTCTGAACAACCCCCAGGATGTTTTCTGTATCTGAAACCTGAGGCAGCAAGAAACAAACACTGTTCAGATCATGTTTTGGTAGAGAGCCTTCAAGTCCTTGTCTCTTCTCCCCCAGCTTCACAAGTGTTGGGGGACTCCCAAGCTTTCCTAACCCATTCATTTCATGAGCTGCCCCTTGTGTCTGTCAGGTGCAGCTCTTTCTGACTCTGTCCCTAAGAGCACACGGCTGCTCCCTGTGCCCTGCTCTGCTCCCTCTCACCTCTAGTCGGAGGGTCTTCTCAATGCTGCCAATCTTCTCGGCCTTGAAAATCAGCGTCACCTCAATCTCTGAGCGAGGATCAACGATGCCCTTATCTTGTGACAAGGAGAAGTGCTCAACAAGGCCATCCAGCCCACTGAGGTGCCAGACCATGGGCAGTAGGGTATCGTTTCTCAACACCAGGGTCCTGCTGTCAATCCTGCAGAGACRGGAAGGYATTTGGCATCARCTGCTGGATGGTCACACCAGCCTCACCACTGAATGCAACTTGGAGCAGCTCCATCCATGTCCCAGAAACCAGAGTCAAACATTTTCTTTTTGTCACAAGTCTCGGAGTGCTTGTGGGATGACTGACTTGTGCAGAAGCAGCTTGTCAAAAGACAGCTTCCGGGGGCTGATGTCCAGCTTCACATGCTCTCCGTAGCAGCACACGCTGAAGACCACTGGCTCCGGGTTCTTCTTGATGCTGCAGATGAGTTTGTCTTCCAGGAAGCCAACGGAAGTGGGGTATGCCCAAATGGTCAGCTCCTGCACCAGTCCCACAGTGACAAACAGAAAGCACAGAGTGAGCAGGAGGAGTGGCTCCTGGGCACTTCCACAGGGCCTGCTCTACCTGCCCTTCTCCTACCTGCTTCTCCTTTGGGCTCAGGACCATGTACGGAGGGTCCAAAAGGAACGTCTCTGCTTCTCCATCGTTCTCAAAGGAGAACTCCACCTCTAGCTCCATGGGGGAGCTGTTGAAGATGGTTATGTTCTCCTGGTTGCAGGGGCAGTTCTGGGCCTTGTACCTGTCCACAAAASGGCAAAATGCTGCAGAGGGCAAGCAAGACTGTTTCCTTTGCCATACATCAAGGAAAGCACCGGGTGCCGGCTGCGAGGGGGCAGTGCTGGAAGACCCCGGTCTAATAAACAAATGAGGGAAAGGGATCCCAGTCTGGAGCATGGTTGTGTGCTCATCYTKGCCTTAYTTTRATRYCTCCCCCTGTACTTGRTGYCTCCACCCCAGAAGCCTAATGATGCACAGGCTACTTCAAGAGTTTTTAACACAGCGTAAATTCAAAGATGCCTAGAAAACTAACAGTACACCAGGCACATGGGTTCTTTCCCCTTCATTCTTGGGGTGCCTTCCCTGCAGGGTATAAAGAAAGCCTTTTGGAAAAAGAGTTTAGCTAATCTCTTTCAGAAAAGTCATGAAACTGCCTGGGATTCATGGGTTAGCTCAAAGTCTGAGGAAAAGAAATATAAAGCATCAGTTCCCAAGAGGAATGCAAAAAGATAACAAAATGACCCTTCTCTCAGGTGTGGAAATGACTTAGGAGTGAGAAGGTTAAAGAAGCGAACAGAAATGCCAGACTATCCATCCACCTGGCTGAAGATTGTCTTTGGTTTTTAAACTGTTGCAATTTAATTTCCTTGGGTTGTCAAAATAGCCCTAGCCCTGCAGAGGTCCCATGGAGACAAGAACTTAATATTAAATATTATAAAAAAAAGGGACAATAAAAATAGAAATATACCAGTAGCTTCAATGACAATGTGTTTAGGCAGACTTTATCCAGCAGTGAGGATGCAATGTCATTACAGGAAAATGTAATTCCCGCTGTAGGTTCTACTGGCAGGTCAATCATAAAATCTTATTAATATTACAAATTAATGAAAGGTTTACATAACCATCTAGACAGTAAATGCTTGATCAGGCTACCTCCAGAGCTCAAAGCACTTCAAAAAGCACTATAAAGATAATTTCCTAAGGGGTGAAGCTGAGATGTGGAAGGGGGACACAAGTTGGCCCCCAAGTCACCTTTTGGGCTGGCAGCAGCATGTGGCTCTGGCCACCAAGGCACCCACCAGGTCTGCAGAGCAGCTCCTCCAAGGCTCGTTTGCCTCTTATCTGCTCAAGTTCATACATCTG